GACTCGAGTCGATCGTTTGTGGAAACCTCCCGTAGGAAGAAAAGTTTGCGGTTCTGAAAGAGAGAGAACAAACAAAAAAAAAAAACCTCCAAAGAACAGTTGAATTTCTTTGCACGAAGAAACAGAGAACAACCAGCACTTTGAGCGCCACAGTGGCCCGGCGGTCAGTTTCCCGAGAAAACCTCGAAAGGGGGGGTACGGAAGAGGAAAGGACGAAAGAGCTCACTCGAAGCCGCGCCGGCGAGACCACTTAGCCTCGGCCCGAATCGGCTGTTTTGACGTCCCAGGCCCAAGAAAGAGGGAAGAAAGCCGCAGGACGCGAGTGTGAAAAGTCCCTCTCCCGGCACGCACTGTCCTCCTTTCCAGTTGGGGCTCCGGAAATCTTGGGCCTTCCGAGTACGCCGAGCAAAAAAAAAAAAAAACCACTACCACCCCGTGACGTCCTCACTGCTTCAGCTTGTATATTCACAGGAGTTTGCGACACTCAATGTACGAGACAATAATCCGTGGTCTGAAAAGTGTTTCATCTCCGCGGGTAAACAACGAGGTGGCTCTTACGGCGATATGTGGCATTGTGATGTACATGCCAAATTCAATGAGTCTGTTGCGGCATATATGGGCTCCCAAGAGCACAACGTATAGGTAATACCAATGCATGGCCATACTACTCTTAATTTTGGTGAATCCACGTTGGCAGTGAAAAAAAGAAAAAAGAAAGGACACTCGAGGGTCGATTAAACAAATATCAGTCATCGACAAGCGTTGTTCAAAGTGTCATTCAAAGCCACCCCCTCAAAAAGGACATGCGTCCCTTGGAGCAAAGTAAACTCCCGCGTCCGGCCGAAGCTAAAAAGGAGGACAATGGCGAGTCGTATACGTGTATTATATATGCACGAGTGTGTCTCCCTCCTTTGGTCCATCATCTCTCGCGCTTGAGTTTAAAGCCATCGTGTAAGTTTTTGAAACGCGGCATTGTCCGGATGCAGGGGCGCGCAGGTCGGCGCGACGCCTCGCACAATAGCGCCCATCGCCTCCTCCTTTTCTTTAATTCTCCTTCTCTCCTTCTTCCTTTCTTTTATTCCATTCTTTTTTTTTTTTCTTCCTTTTTCATTTTGTCCACCCTGCCCGCCTGTTTTCTTTTCTTGTCCTTTTGTGTGCTTGTGTATGTTTTTATATACGTACAACGCGCATATACGTTTCCTCCCCCCCCCCACCTCAGCGCGTGCACTCGTTTTTCTCTTTTCTTTCGCAGCGAATGGGGCTTTTCTTTTCGGCTCTGTGTCGTTGGACGGTTTGTCGCGAGGAATGCGAGGATGTGCTCGTTGTACATCGGCTCCTTCCGCGAAGGTCAGCTGCTCTGCACTGCCTTGATGGATTGGTTTTTCCTTTCTCTTTGACTAATTAATTTTTGAGAAAATAAATGGATAATAAGAGAGAGAGAGAGAGAGAGAAAATGTTTTCAAGAAAAGAGAGATTCTTGCGTAGATTAGGCGGAAAAACTGGAAAATAAATCGAGAGCGGGAAAACAAAAGAAGAAAAATCGACAATAGATTCGTGCAGGATACAGTGTGACGATTCGTGGAGGTGGTAACTATACGTAAGTGAAAAAAAAAAAAAAAAAAAAAAAAAAAAAAAGTAATGGTATTTTAATCAAATTAACCAACTAAAGAAAATCTACGTAAGTGCATACACCAAGCAGGTGATATTTCCCAGCTAGATGGTAATGAGAATTGAAAAAAAAAATCCATATATCTTACAAACGGGTACTTCTCCTCCCTCCCTATCCGTCAATTAAATAACCGAATAAATATGAACAATCGCCGTTCTGCAAGCAACACCCCAACACTTATCCCTCGACTCGAGCACGTATAATCCAGCGAGCCTGGCCGTAAACAGACACCACGGGCGCACCAACTTTTCAAGCCAACCATACTTATCGTGTGTGCGTGTGTATGTACACGCGATTCCAAGCTGCAGCCAGCCACCCATGCACATCGGGGTACGAAATCAAGATCCCGAGGTTGTCTGGACGCGCGCCTTCACGCGCAAAACGCACGCGCGCAGCCCAAAGTGCGAACGCCCCGCGGAGCATTAGCGATACGCGCCCCGCTGCTGATGACCATCGAGAGCTGGTTTCAACGACCGGACTGCGACCGACCCAGCGGGACGTCCCCCTTTCCGCGCATCCACTCTCTCGGCTTTCTTCCTCGGCGATTCCGAGCTACGCGCGAGCTAATAATATATACAACTTCTTTTTTTTTTTTTTTTTTTTTTTTTTCTTTTTGTCAAACCACACACGCCTCCGTGCCGGCTAAGTGCTGTGTACGCTCTAGGGGTGCCCTTCCAAAGAATCGGGCGCGGTCAAGGGTTGCGGTCCCGAGGCTCGCGCGGCCAATTAATCAAATTCCATTGAACGCCCTTTTCGAGGCTCGAACACCTCGTCCGGTCTACCTACTTTTGCAGGAAGAAAAACAACTCGTCCGAGCCACTTTACACGCGAAACTTTGCAATCTTCCATTCGTTATGTATACGTATAAATAGTATTTTTGTGTCGCAGCATTGGAGCAATGCATACAAAGTCCCAAAGTCAACGCCCCATCATCATCATCATCGGGTGCTATTATAAAAGGGCACTTTCTCTCTCTCTAGATTGTATAAACGGAGCCGGCACAGTGTCACGAGCAGTCAATTTTCTCGAGGGCTGATTTTTAACCACCTTTGTCGCCGCTGCACGTATATACATAACGGGCGTGCAATCAAGGGACTCGGTGCCCATTGACAACAATTTCTACGTCACGCGGCTACACCCATTCCGGGGTACACACCGTGGACTCCGTATACCTCGTGGCCTTATGTCGTATGCACGTTTGAAATAAAAGATGGGGGTGGGTTGTGGGATCGCAAACAACGATTATCCTGCGTAGGGCGGGAGCGTACACGTCGTCGGCACGAAAAAAAAAAAAAAAAAAAAAAAAAAAAAAAAAAACTAAACGCTAATGGCGTTTGACTCGTGGATTCGACTCGAATGTCTCGCAAAACAGTGGGCGGGGATCAGCCGGTTTTTATTGTTCGCGGCCACCCTACGATTGACCGATGTCGTTTTAATTGCGCGCCTGTTTCTGACTGCGCGATCATTGCGGGGATACTCACGTAGCTCTGCCCCCTTGAGGGTTTAGTTTTTACACGTACACGTGCTTTTGCTGAAAGTCATACATTTTAGAGCTTACGTTTTTTTTAAG